AAGTAAGGTCCTAAACAATTAAAATACAGGTGCAGGTCACCGAAAGATGATAATGGGGAAAAGAGAGAACTTAGTACCATATCTATGCGTACACAATGTTGCCAAGCAGGAGCATGGGACGAAAAGGAAAAAAAACAGAGGCCAAAAAAGCTTTCATCACACTAAAAACGGATGAACTATTTGACAGGTTTGGTGTACAGTGCCATAAACCTCCTCTACAGGTCAAGTGCATGCAAAAAATAATCGCTTAACGGCGCAAGGGTGAACAGTTGTTTAGCAACATACCTCGGATATTGCATGCTTTTTCAAAAAAACGCTGTAAACTCTCACTTACTCCCACGGCCCTGTTTTTAATGTTATAACCCCTAAGTGCTTTCAGCTTGTAGGAAGCAGCACTGTTCACATAACCGGCAAAGAGCACGGTTCGTAAGTTGATGAGTGGGCATCGCTTCGTAGGATAGTGCACATTCCTATTACAACTGACATGACGGCGGATAAGGGACTCGATGGGGGAGAATCGGATTTGTAAATGCTCAACAACTAAGCAATTTGGGTTCAAATTCCAGATCATTCAGGTCTGGAATTGGGTATGGCTAGATGATGAGGACTAATAAGTCAGAAGTGGCCATTCCATTCTTTCTGGTCTTTGCTGGTATTCCAAGAAGTCAAAGCATTGGTACCACGGCGAAATTAGACTACCATCCAGTACAATCCTGGACACCTAAACCGGTAGGGTCCACCTTAGGAAACGGTAAATACAGAAAACTATGCTCTATCAATACAAACCCTGAAAACACTTGTGGCACGAGATGCAACTGGAGGGGGTTTTTTAAACGGCCGAAGATCTGGGCCGCGCGCACTCTAGTGACACCAAGAGTATCATTTTTGTGTAGGAGAACAACTTTTGGACGAAAGCTGACGTTATTAAGACCGCAGCTATTCTAGCACTTGGTGTCTAAATAGTTACGAAAGGTGTCTACCTGATCGGCCGAGTACATGTACTCAAGTATACAAATAGAAGTTTCACTAAGCCACCTACATGTCAAACGAGCAGCGTACACATTCTTTGCGGTCTTTACTGTCTGGGATAGGATATGCTCGAAGCATGAGCACAGATAGTCAACGAACGTGATTATTAATAAACAACTCAAGCTCGCCAGCGATAAACAAGAGTGAAATTAAGGACAGTGAAAAACCAAACGGTGACGTTTAGCAAAATTAAGTAATGCTGTTTAGTATGCATGGCAAAAACCAGGGATTCTCATGAACAGAATGGGTGATTACAAGACACAGCACTCCAAGTCAGCAAGTCGACTTCCAGCTTTCTTTCTCGGTGCTCTCTTGTTAGTCTTCTTGGTCTATTGGTGCTTTTGTACAATTTTGCGTGACTAAGTAAAGCTTTTAAGCACCCAGGATTCCAGTATTGGCTCCCTAAACATGACGATTGCGTGGGTGTTGCAGTTAATATTATCGCAAGTGATGACAACGTTTAGTGTGAGGGAGAGGAAGCGTAGGAGAAAGAAGAAAAAGAGAGAGGAAGTGGGCTAGGTGGCAATTTTCATGATTTTCGGCCATCAAGACAAGCATAATTTTCAGTCTACGTCATAAAAGGTGACTATCGTAGGCCTACGTCTCCTGCTAAAACAAGCGGGATTATGCCAGTATATTTTGTCTACTAGCCTTAACGAATGTAAATGCAGTCTAGGAAAAAAACATCTGATCTTGCCCAGGTCTTTTATGAGAATAATGAATAGCTTGCTAAATATTTACACTTGTCAGAGAAATTCGCCAAAGGGCAACCCCTAAGTAGCCTCAGAAGTAAATTTATAGTGTATGTGTTAAAACCTCATTCTGAGTCAAAGATAGGACTTCGAATAATGAAAAGCGAAAAACCAGACTTACGTCGCTTGTTTGAGATATCTCATCCACCAGGTTTGACATCAGTTGGACACCGAGTAGTACTCCACTAAGCTGACCCGACTACAGCGAGAGAAATTTGAAAAAAAGAGGACTTTCTAGCATTATCAAAAGTATTAAAAAATAAATCTGCATGAAATGCCAGTACACTGTTCCGTGGAAGCAGAAGCGAGAAAAATCCCTAGTAGCAACAAACCTGAATGCATTTATTTGCCGAATCCATAAGATCACGAAAAGGCCATTCCGGACCCTTTTCAACTGAATCGAACCAGCCCAGCTTCGTGAGTCTGCAAACGAGTACGACCAGTGTTTGTTGCACAAAAGACTCCAATGGCGAATGGGACACAAGATAATTCAGAGCAAAGTTGCCTATAATCCGGGTTGGCAATAACATTTTATCGTCAAAACTCACGTAATTCCAGTCTTGCATTTACATGGAGCACAGTATCTTTATTGGAGATGAATCGGGCAAGTGCCGTAGCGGCTATAAACTGGGAATAGCAGGACTAAAAATACGGTTAGGGAAAGTAAAGAAGCATACATTGGCACGCTGAAGAAGCGCCTGACACGTTGATACAC